CGGGCGAGTGACGCCGAACGTCCGAGGAACAGCAAAAATTGTTGCTACAAAAAGCAACCGGCGACTGCTAAAAGTGAAGTGTGCTGTGTGCGGAATCACGAAAACAAAGTTTTTGCCTGGAATTCCCAGAAAAGCAGCCAAATAAGAGCAAGCGGGAAAGACAGATAAATTTGTTTTGAACATTTGTTTTACTTATATTAGCCACTATCATGTCCGACAACAAGCTTGTCATGACCGTCATTGAGGCCGCAACTCTCACGGGATTAGCCGCGGGCATCGGCTGGACCGCAAAAAAGGTTTTGAATGAGAATTTCACTTCCGATCCCAGCAGCAGCCCGATGAATTACGCTAAGTTCACCGCCGTCATGGCGGAAAGCATTGCGCTCAAAAAGTACCTCGAGGACCAGAAAATCCTCCCCGACAGCGTTTGAAGAAATACAAGTCTATTATATTGCGCCATGGCAAGTATTGCAAGCATCGACGTTCACGAGGCTGTTTCGAGATCCGCGAGAGAAAACGAAAAGAACTACGACGAAGCACTCAAGAAGTTTCTTGAGCTTTTCGAGAATACAGTTCTCAACCACGCTTGGATCGAGGCAAACGTGAATAAAAAAGAAGATGCGGAGTTTTTGAAAGATGGTCAAGTGCGAGCCGCCGAGGCGTATCAAAACGCCGAAGAAAAATTCAAGAACGAACCCGAAGACCTTCTCAACTGGATTGCGAACAACTTGGTACTATTCAAGGAAAACAGCAATGAGTTGTGATTTGAAAAAAGCTTCCGATAATATATAACCATGGCGAGCATCGCTATCATGATTGACGGGGCTGTGTTGAACGCCACGGCTTTTATCGGAGGCAATTATCTGGCAAGGGCGCTCGGCGGGGGCGACAAAGCTGCGCTTGAAGAAAAAAAGCGCCACGACAAAGCTCTCGAAGATTATCAAGCGGCTTACGCTAAATACACGCGCGACCGAACACAACTTCTCGACTGGATCGCGACCAATGCCCAAGAAAAGGAGCAGGCCAAGCAGAACTTCACCAACACGGACTATGCCTTCAAACTCTACAACCAGGCGCATCCTGACGAACGAATTGTACCCCCCCCAAGGAGCCCAAGTTCTCAGATTTCTATCAGCCAAGCGAGCAGCAATAAAACGGTGAACTCATATTCGTAGGCGCCGGCGCTCTCGCTCTGGGCTACGCAGCCTTCCGGTTCCTTTAAACTTTTTTACGCCTTACTTATATGGACGCCAAACTCGCAAAGATA